CCTGTTTATACCTTGCAGTCAACTACAATGGCTCAGATGGTCAAGGCAGTCCGAATGATTCTTGGGAGAGAATCATTTGGCTCAGCCCCTAAAATCATTCAGAAATCTACTTTTGATGATATCGAGATAAAAGGTGACGCTCCTGAGAGCAAACCCAGTTTAGAAGAACTCGATGCCCTCGAGGTAACTCTCATCTCGCTGTAAATATTCAAATTCTCCAATAGAAATGGCTTGTTACTCAGATAAGTATCTTCGGACTATACCAACTCTTAGTTCATTCGGATTAATACATCTCATCTTACTAAAGGCTCAATACAAGTCGCATCTATATAGCGCAAGTTTAGTGGTGCATTGTTTCAAATTCTCATGATTTGGCTGCTACTTTCTATTTTCGGATTACCAACGCAAGCCTTCATATAACCGCAATGCCTTGCCTAGTAAAATGCTCAATGACTATAGATTAGGGACACTTGCAAGTATAATTACTGACACGCCCCTGTTTCTGAAACGCAGGAAGTCCGTCTTGCAATTGAATACATTGTGATCCCGGGAGGTGAGCCGGTGGAGCTTCTCCCGAGGCGGTCAGACATAATAGTCAGGCAACTAGAGCTGGTGGCGAGCTACCAACTCGCAGTGGAGAATCTTGGCACTCACCTTAATCCACGACTTCAGATTCTTCCGCGTCGATCCACCAAGAAAATGTTGCCATCTTCATCCCCCAAAAATGCAGCAGATGATAGTGAAGGGACCACCATTACTCGTCTTCCTTTCCTTAAGGATTGACATCTTTGACTCAACATATGGTACATGTATCGTAGCCGCTCTTGAACATGAACATTGTACATTTATTGTAAGTCTTTGTAAATAAACTGTTAATGTTGTTAGTCATTATTACTCACTCCCAGTGTATGTCACACAAATGCAATGCTGTCTTGAAAAAACAGAGTGCAATTTTTAGATGTTTCTTTACTCGTTATTTATAAACAAAATTTTATCCAACAATAACACTACAAATTGTTTTTTTCCGTAGGATTATTAGTACTTAATTATGCAAATGTATACTTCTTGAGTGCATGTATGTATCCTAGTCTTGTTGAAACCAGAAAAACAGAGAATGAAATTAATTATGCAAGTGTATACTTCTAGAGTGCATGTATGTATTAACATCCTGTTGAAACCACAAAAACTGATGCACACATACAACTGTGGACCAAAACTTATCAAAATGTTAATACAAAAACCACTGGTTAGGCTTCGGTAAGAGAACATGTCTATATCCGCATTGGGTTCATTTGCCAATGCTCAAAACATTATGTTTGATGGGAGTAAAGTTCAGAGGGTTACGAAATTACATTTGAAAACCTTATTGCAGGCTGTGACAACCTTGAGGAACTCAGACTTCAGGTTATTGTTTCATATATCTGACTATGTTTCTAGATTTCTTCTAAATCACTCAAGAGGTTAAATTGAAAATGAGTGTATTTGGTTGATGTTTTGAGAACAATAACACTATAGAATGCTTTTTTCCATAGGGTTTTTAGTGCAAACAATGTTCATTTGTAGCATAGAATGAAATTAATTATGCAAGTGTATTCTTGTGGAATGCATGCATGTATCCTAGTCTTGTTGAAACCACAAAACTGATGTATACATACAACTATGGACCAAAACTTATCAAGATGTTAATACAAAAACCAAAGTCAATTTCAGTATTACACAAATGTACAATCTCGTAGTACACATGCATAGAAACACACAAACAGTCCGTCGCAGTGAACCGCATCACGAATATGATTTGGAGCATCAAACTCCGCTGGGATTGGTGATAAAGAGAGAGCACCGGTCACATGATCCGCGACTTTAACATCACCAAAGATTCGTATGAATGTTTCCACCAAACGTTTCAAGTGGTCGTAAATAAACTTTTTTTCGTGATGCCGTCAAACGTTTTGAAAACCATTCTTGAAAGGATAAGAGCTTCCAACGAAGTTCCAAGGATGATGATTCTTAATAAATCTTCCGGGAGTGACCATTTATGAGTATCAAGAAGTCTGTTTATGGGAAGTAGTTGGTTATGGTTGAATTCGAAATAGTATAAAACTCTTATTTCATGTTTTAGTTTCTCATCTTGTACTATCGATCTATCAAAGATTACAAATCAGCTTTCTAATCATGTAATGATTCATTTGGATTCCTTGTCATAATCTTCGTCTGCTATCTCAGTTTTCTGCTTTTTCTCTTTTCTATCGACTACATACGACAAAAAATGGTATAAATTCTTAATAGGCGACGGTTTTTTTGGTTGAAGAAAAATTTCATCTTCATAACTTATAGATAGGTTTCAATCTTCATATGTTATCTCCGTTTGCTGCTTTTTTCTCTTTTCTGTCGAGTACAGACGACAAAAAATGGTTTCGAATTCTTGGTTTTGTCGAGTATCGCAGAACAAGAACGTTTTGAGGAAGCAGAAGCCATTGAATTCTTGGTTTCTATGTTTCTAAGAAAAATAAAAGACCCTTATTATCTATAGACGCTTTGCATTTTGAATTTCCATTTCCAATCATATGATTTTTTGGAAAAATTGATTTCCTTTTTATTTTTTCGGTTAACGGGAACTAGTTTTCCCTGTTTCTTACCGTTTTCATCACAAAAACCAAAATCTCCATTCAAAAAAGTTGCCGAGGATTTA